AGCCCATGCCCACCGGGGAAGTAAGGAGCAGCCACAGCCACAATACCGCACGAGGCACGAGCCCTGGCCCATTGTCCCCGGAGGGCAGACTCACAGAGACAGTAAGTGAGGAGGGCCGCAGGGTGGGGGGGAGGGGGCGTCGGTGTTTAATGAGACAGAGTTTCCGTTTTGCAAAATGAAGAACTTCTAGCGATTGGGGCGCACAACACGGGACTGCAGTTAACACTTACTACCTGCACTACGGTTACGGTTACCAGGGTAAGCTGTATTTTCTTTACATTATTTTACAACAAATTTTTTACAAACTTAAAATTTTAAAAACAGAAAAAGGGGATAGAACAGTTCTATCTGAAAATTACATACTTCGCATCTATTTAAATCTACAAGGAAAAAATTGAGATGTCAACGTTGAAAGTGTGAGCGGATAAATGTTTTCGGAGATCCTTTAAGCCGCACTCAAGACAGAAGGTGGAGGCCACAGCCGAACCACTGGCGGGTCCCCTCAGTCTGCCCAGACGGAAGGCCCTGGAGGTGCGTTCACTGACGAACTGCACGTCTGTTCGCAGTAGAAGGGATGGCCCAGGCCCTGGGTGACATTCCTCAGGCAGTCTGGAATGAGGTCAGCTAAATTCTCCAGAATCTTCCAGAAAGCTCCTTAGAACTGCCTCTGAAAGAATGAGAATCCCACCAGTGTGTGGCATGTGCCACCCACAGGGAGTCCCATCAAATCAGCACAAATTAGGCCGCGGGGCGTGGGTGGCTCATGCCTATAATCCTAGCCCTCTGGGAGGCCAAGCTGGGAGGATTGCTCAAGGTCAGGAGTTCAAGACCAGCCTGAACAAGAGAAGAGCAAGACCCTGCCTCTTACTAAAATAGAAAGAAATGAGCTGGACAACTAAAAGTTATATAGAAAAATTAGCCGGGCATGGTGGCGCATGCCTGTAGTCCCAGCTACTCGGGAGGCTGAGGCAGGAGGATCACTTGAGCCCAGGAGTTTGAGGTTGCTGTGAGCTGGGTTGACGCCACGGCACTCTAGCCTGGGCAACAGAGTGAGACTCTTGTCTCAAAAAAAAAAAAAAGAAATCCAGCAAACTTGCCACTACCAGCCAAGGAGCCCCAGAGGAAGTGTCCGCTCCCAAGGGGCCACAGCCTGGACGGCGCGGACACCCCCATGCAGTGGCCTCCACAGGTGGACGATGAGGAGCTGCCCACCGGTCTCCCACCTGCCCGGGACACGCCTCCCTGGGTGGGGGCGTCTTTCCCTCTGGTCCATTCCTGGTGCACCCGGGAAGCTGGAGAGGTCTGTCCTGGCTCGACTTCGCTTTTGAGAAGCGAGGCCGGACCTCTCCTCAAACACTTCTGCTCCTCAGGCATTGCCTTTGTGCTTTGCTGTGTTTCCAGCAATGCCCACCCCAACGCCAGCCCCGTGGCTCAGCACGCCCCTCCTGTGCCCTGAAGCTGGGTTATGTCCACAGGTTCCCACGTGTTCTCCGTTTGCTCGCCTTAAACCAGAAGATTATTATGAACGTGTCGTTTTCTCGTTGCAGTTGCAAGTGAACCTGCTGTCCAAATTCCTGCTGATCGCAAAATCCTGCTACGAGCAGAGGAACTTCGCGACAGCCATGCAGATCCTGGGTGGGCTGGAGCAGCTGGCCGTGAGGCAGTCCCCTGTGCGTCCCCCTCGGGCCCCGGGGGCGTGGGAATGAGCCCCGCCGGCCGTAGGCGTCTCACCTGTGCTCTCCTTTCAGGCCTGGAGAATCCTTCCTGCAAAGATGGCGGAGATCCTGGAGGAGCTGAAAGCCGTGGAGGTACTAGCGCTCGGCACACACCTGGGGCCTCTCCTTAACCACTTGGGGACCATGCTCACCCGCAAAACCTCGCCCGCAGCCGGCACTCACGGTCCGCACGGTGGCTTGTGCTGTGCATTGACGACGAGTCCGTCTTGCTCTTGTGTGATGAGGAAAGCTTGAAAGCACCGAGAGCTTGTTTTACTTTACGGGCAGCTTTACTTGTAGCGTAAATCAGAATAGGTAACATACATATATATGTTTTCATGACGTTATTTTTAAATGTTCACAATTTTATTTTGATAAACAAAAAATTAGAAAAGTCATATCACGGCTGTCGGCTAAAGTCGACGCTCGGCTGTGCGCCTTCACATCACGGCTGTCGGCTAGAGTCGCTATGCGCATTCATCTGTGGCTGTCGGCTATAGCGGACGCCCGGCTGTGCGCGTTCATCTGTGGCTGTCGGCTATAGCGGACGCCGGGCTGTGCAGTTCATCTGTGGCTTCGGCTATAGTGGACGCCGGGCTGGAACCTTCCAGCATCTCCTGGTGGCCCTCTGCCACCCACCTGGGCAACAGGGCTGCCTGGGGGGCTCACTGGCCCGACTGCCCTGTGCGGGCGACAGGTGCCCAGGGGGCAGGACTGAGACCTGTGGCTGGGGCCTGAGCCCCGCAGACGGACGGACAGAGGCCTGCCCAGGAGACAAGGAGATGCCGCCTGCAGCAGTCAAGCATTTCCCAAAACGAGGCAGCGGGAGCCACAGAGCAGGCACGGCCGGTCCCGGTCCAGTCCTGGAGCTCGGAGCCCAGCCTCAGCTCTGCGTGGGGGGGGAGGGCTCGTGCAGGTCCTCCCTGGACACGCAGATGAGGGGCCCCTCCCGCCGTCCAGCCGGGGTTTGATCCCAGGAGCCCTGCAGAGCGAGGAGAGGGTTTCGCCATTTCCACAGCATGGGGTGACAGGCTCTCTGGTGGCTGTCAGTGCTCTTCTTGTGCCAGCAAGCTTAGGACCCAGGGACTCCCAGCCCGCGATCCGATAACGCAGGGCACGTTCTGGACCGGGCGCTAACTCAGAGTCTGTGCAGCCCCCGTGCACGCAGCATGCAGGCATCGGCTGGCACTGGCTGGGCTAAGCTGGCCCCTGCCTGAGCCTCGTGGCCTGACTGCGCCCATCTCTCCTCTGCCTATGCCCCGCGGGCTGCCAGGTCTTCCTGAAGAGCGACAGCCTGTGTCTGATGGAGGGGCGGCGCTTCCGGGCCCAGCCCACCCTGCCCTCCGCCCGCCTCCTGGCCATGCACATCCAGCAGCTGGAGACAGGGGGCTTCACCATGACCAACGGGGCCCACAGGTGGGGCAAGCTCAGGTGAGGAGGGACCCAGCGTGACCACAGGCCTGGGGGGCTCAGGTGACGGGGACCCAGCATGACCATAACCCTGGGCTCAGGTGAGGGGGACCCAGCGTGACCACAGGCCTGGGGGGCTCAGGTGAAGGGGACCCAGCATGACCATAACCCTGGGCTCAGGTGAGGAGGGACCCAGCGTGACCACAGGCCTGGGGGGCTCAGGTGAGGGGGACCCAGCATGACCACACCCCTGGGCTCAGGTGAGGGGGACCCAGCATGACCATAACCCTGGGCTCAGGTGAGGGGGACCCAGCATGACCATAACCCTGGGCTCAGGTAAGGGGGACCCACCATGACTATACCCCTGGGCTCAGGTGAGGGGGACCAAGCATAACCACACAACTGGCCTCAGGTGAGGAAGGCCCAACGTGACCATACAGCTGGGCTCCGGTGAGGGGGACCCAGCATGACCACATACCTGGGCCCAGGTGAGGAAGGCCCAGCATGACCACACACCTAGGCTCAGGTGAGGGGAACCCACCATGACTATACCCCTGGGCTCAGGTGAGGGGAACCCACCATGACTATACCCCTGGGCTCAGGTGAGGAGAACCCACCATGACTATATCCCTGGGCTCAGGTGAGGGGGACCCAGCATGACCACATACCTGGGATTAGGTGAGGAAGGCCCGCCATGACCACACACCTAGGCTCAGGTGAGGGGAACCCACCATGACTATATCCCTGGGCTCAGGTGAGGGGGACCAAGCTTATGCCCAACATGACCACACAGCTGGGCTCTGGTGAGGGGGACCCCAGCATGACCACACACCTGGGCCCAGGTGAGGAAGGCCCAGCATGACCACATACCTGGGCCCAGGTGAGCAAGGCCCAGCATGACCACACACCTGGGCTCAGGTGTCATGTCTCCTCCTGTCCCTGCTCTGCAGAGGTCGGGCCCCTCGACTTCCCCTCACCTGCCAGGGGCCGAAGTGCTCTCCCTGCTGCAGTCATTTCCTTCTCTGCAGACAGTACACAGCCAGGGCTTCAAAACACTCCCAGCACCTGTGGTGACCCGTCTGGGGATCTAGGCACACCGTCCCCTCACCCCACCACACCCTCGTCTGCAGCAGAGTTGCCCAGGTTGCCACCCCTAAACACACATCGTACCCTTGGGTCCTCCCTAGAGACGTACACTCAGGGCCGGGCGCGGTGGCTCACGCCTGTAATCCTAGCACTCTGGGAGGCTGAGGCAGGCGGATTGCTCAAGGTCAGGAGTTCGAAACCAGCCTGAGCAAGAGCGGGACCCCGTCTCTACTATAAATAGAAAGAAATTAATTGGCCAACTAATTATATAGAAAAAAATTAGCCGGGCATGGTGGCGCATGCCTGTAGTCCCAGCTACTTGGGAGGCTGAGGCAGGAGGATCGCTTGAGCCCAGGAGTTTGAGGTTGCTGTGAGCTAGGCTGACGCCACGGCACTCGCTCTAGCCTGGGCAACAAAGCGAGACTCTGTCTCAAAAAAAAAAAGAGAGACGTACACTCAGGACCCGCGGTCAGGCCTCGGCCTGTCCCCCAGTCCCGCTGTCCACCTGCCCGGGGCACCTGGGGCCCGGCCACCCTACTTGCTGCCCGGGGGCGCAGACCAGGGCTGGTCAAAACCCACCCCCACCCCCAGAGGCCAGCACAGCCTAGGCCAAAGAGCATCTCAGCTATCGCTTCTGCCTCGGTGGCCCAGCCTGTGTCCGAGGGCCTCTTGGGCACTCCTCAGCACTCCTCCCTCACCCCACGACCCCCACCCTGGGTCTCCCCTCACCTCTCTCTGCTCTCCACACCTGGTCAGGCCCTGGCCAGACGGCCACTCCTCCCAGGGCAGACACGGAGCCTAAGCTGCTCAGTGCAAGGCCCTTCTTACATAATCACCAGTTTTTAAAAAAATATATACGATAAACCACACATGTGTGCTTGTTGTAAGAGACCAGGAAACCCATGTCGACAAAAAGGGAATAGAAAACTTAATGCCATGATCTGGAAAGAATACGGGCTAACATTTAGTGTTTGCTTTTCTTGATGCTGTGTGTGTGTCAGAGACAGCACATTCATGCTTGTCCTTTAATTGGCAAAAACGACCTCACTCACTCTGGACGTACTATTTCTTCATCCAACGTGGGACTGGGACTGTCCGTGGAGTTTGCAGCTCCCTGGGCAGAATCAAGGGCACCTGCTTCCGAGTTCCCCGTGTTTGGGATTATACCCTGTGGTGCGCTGGTCACTGTGTAACACCCAGTTCTCCAGGGGAACAAGCCCTGGTTCACAGCGTTTGCTGACTCCCAGGGTGTGAACACCCCACTGAGGCATGTGGGAGCCCAGCTCACCCCGCACATGCCATGCTGACTCCCAGGGTGTGAACACCCCACTGAGGCATGTGGGAGCCCAGCTCACCCCGCACGTGCCATGCTGACTCCCAGGGTGTGAACACCCCACTGGAGCATGTGGGAGCCCAGCTCACCCCACACATGCCACACTGACTCCCAGGGTGTGAACACCCCACTGAGGCATGTGGGAGCCCAGCTCACCCTGCATGTGCCACGCTGACTCCCAGGGTGTGAACACCCCACTGGAGCATGTGGGAGCCCAGCTCACCCTGCACGTGCCACGCTGACTCCCAGGGTGTGAACACCCCACTGAGGCATGTGGGAGCCCAGCTCACCCCACACGTGCCACGCTGACTCCCAGGGTGTGAACACCCCACTGTGGCATGTGGGAGCCCTGCTCGCCCTGCATGTACCACGCTGACTCCCCTGTCTGCCCGGCCCTGACACCAGGAATCCCTTTTGGAACCCTCAGCCCCAGCCAAAACCGCACACAGCAGGTTTTAAATAAACATTCATGGACTGAGAAATGAATGGATGGACGGACGGACGAACAGATAGAAGGCCTGAGTAGTGAAATGAGGCTGGGTCTCGTAAACACACACAGAAAACCCACCCTTCAGTTTCTGCACTTTGAGGACAGGCCAGGAACTCACGTGCCTCAGGCTGCTCCTTCTATACGGCGAACTAACGTCTTTCCTCCCCATCCCCCAAAGAAACATAGCCAAGGTGGTGAGCCAGGTGCACGCCTTCCAGGAAAACCCCTACACCTTCAGCCCCGACCCCAAGCTCCAGTCGTACCTCAAGCAAAGGATCGCGCGGTTCAGCGGAGCCGACATTTCCACCCTGGCCGCAGACAGCAGGGCCAACCTGCACCAGGTCCCCAGCGAGAAGCAGTCGCGGAAGATCCAGGACAAGCTGCGCAGGATGAAGGCCACGTTCCAGTAACCCAGCTCAGCTCCCGTCAGGTTGTGGAATTCCAGACATGCCGGACCTGCCAGGAGGGCTGGAGGCAGAGGGCGCGCCCAGGCCCGGAGCCCGGGCGGGCCGAGCAGGGCTGCCTCAGGCTGCAGCGGGGGCCCGCAGGTGGGGGCCCCACAGTGGGGCGGGCGGTCTCCTCCCAGCAGACGGAGCCAGGACAGGCACCAGAGCCTTGGGGGCTTGCGTGTTTCTGCTAGAATTAAAAAATCATCTTCAAAGATGAAAATAGAAAAAGTAGACTTCCCAAGAATGTCGAATTTGTACCTCTCACCGTGACCCTTCAAAAAGCCAGCACCGTCCGTCCCCCTGAGCAGACGCCAAATGCACCTGCTCACCGAGGAGGCATGGCCCTCAGAACCGCACCCAAGAGCGGCTCCAGGGGCTCCAAGACCTTCCGCCTGGGCCGGCGCCTGGGTTCACGCCCCACTTCCGCTGTGCTGTCTCCCTGGGAGCTCGCCTAGGGGCGGAAAGTAGCCTCTGAGGCCCAGCCTCCTGCAGCGGTGAGCGCCTTGGCCCGGCCCCCTCCCTTCGGGGAACCACTGTAGGTGAGGCGGGTCCTGCAGAGGCTGCAGAACATGAGTCAGCTCCAGCCCAGAGATGCAGCGTCCGCGGCTGGGGCGCTGCGCCCATCCGCCTCCAGCACCAGCGCTCGGACCCGCGCCCACCGCCCCACTGTGTCCCTACGCCCGCTGCGCCCTGGCCCCTGCGCCCACTGTGTCCCTACGCCCACTGTGCCCAGTCCCCTACGCCCGCTGCGCCCTGGCCCCCAAACCCACCGCGCCCAGTGTCCCTACGCCCACCGCGCCCTGGTACCCAAAACCACCGCGCCCACTGTGTCCCTACGCCCACCGCGCCCCAGCCCCCAAACCCACCGCGCCCACTGTGTCCCTACGCCCACTGCGTCCTGGTACCCAAACCCACCACGCCCACTGTGTCCCTATGCCCACTGCTCCCTGGCCCCGCACCCACCGCGCCCACTGTGTCCCTACGCCCACTGCTCCCTGGCCCCGCAGCCACCGCACCCACTGTGTCCCTACGCCCGCTGCGCCCAGGTCCCCAAGCCCACCGCGCCCACGCGCTTGGCGCGTCACTGTCACTCGTGCTTTGCCAGACCAAGGACAGGCAGCTGCTCAGTGGTGGCGCCAAGGCCCTCCCCAAGGCTCAGGCTCCAAACGCTGGTTTTGCGCTCTCGCTGGGGGTGGAGGGAGCCCCTCTGCCAGGTGCGGCCTGTGAACAGGGCGGGGCGGCCGGTGCCCCCACTGGGCTCCCGGACAGGGACATGGAGCCCAGGGCCTGTCCCAGGCTCTGGCTCTCACAGGGCAAATTACCGCAAGACCCGGGATTTTTCAGTTTTAGAATTAGTGATTCTTTAGCGCAACCAGCTAGTGGTGTTTCTAGGAAAACTCTTTGTGACAAAACGCTTAACTTTTAATGTCAAGATGTGTTTTCCCACATAAACTCATGGGAGACATCTGGGCCCTGCTTAAATGGAATATAGGAGGAACAGCATCCTGGCTGTGCAAAGCAATCGTTTTTTTAGGCTTTTTTGCAAGGATTATGTTCTGCTGATCAACCCCCACGTTTTCAGATTTTGTATCTAGCAAATCAGTGCTCAGCGCACGTCAGCATTTCAGCCGTAAGGAATCGTTTTCCTAGGGAAGTGACCAGGCTTTGGCTTAGGCACAAGCGTTTGCATGTCTCCCAACCCGTCACGTGGTACCAATTTCTAAATAAAGTCGTTTCTACCAAGCCCCTTGCGTGAGCCGTGCTCTGTGGTCCAAAGTGACGTCTGCTTTGTGGGTCAAGGTGGTTTCCAGGCCGGGCGCGGTGGACCACGCCTGTCATCCTAGCACTCTGGGAGGCCAGGGCGGGAGGATCGCTCAAGGTCAGGATTTCGAAACCAGCCTGAGCAAGAGCGAGACCCCCGTCTCTACTATAAAAAAATAGAAAGAAATTAATTGGCCAACTAAAAATATATAGAAAAAATTAGCCGGGCATGGCGGTGCGTGCCTGTAGTCCCAGCTACTCGGGAGGCTGAGGCAGGAGGATCTCTTGAGCCCAGGAGTTGGAGGTTGCTGTGAGCTAGGCTGACGCCATGGCACTCACTCTAGCCTGGGCAACAGAGTGAGACTCTGTCTCAAAAAAATAAAAAAAGTTGGTTTCCTTTGTGGCCAGACGAAGGCCCCTTATGGGGGCACACGCACTCACATCCGTGACGGCACAGAGGCCGCCAGAGTCTTCCAGACCCGTGTCTAGTTCAGGCCCCGCAGGAGGAGAGAAGCCCCCAGACTCCCAAGCCACGAGAACCGCAAACTCCCCCTGCAGCTGCGGGACTGCCCGCTTCTGGGGAAGGTTGTGAAGGGCCCGAGACGTCACAGCTGGTTCATCACGGCCACTCCACCACAAGCTGTCCTGCCCTAAACGCTGCCCACCCGGCAGCCCGAGCCCCAGCAGCAGCCTGTGCACAGCACAAAGCTGGGTCCACTGCTGCCCACGTGGGGCCTCCCCAGAGAGAGCTCGGCCACATCTCGAGAGGGGAGCAAAGTGGGGCCCTCGTGCAGCTGGCGGAGGGGGGTGACCATGGGAGAGGACTCTGATGTCACAGCAAAGCAGGGGGCTTAAGACCAGGACTTCGAAGAGCTGTGGGTGCAAACAGCTGATGCTCTTACGGAGGAGTCAGTGGGTCTCTGGGGAGGCTCCAGGGATGGGCAGTGCAGTTGTCTAAGGAGAGACGCGCAGGGGGAAAGGTGTGCTGACGCGGGCGGAGCTGCCTCGGCCAGGTGTTTTGGTGCCAGGTCAGGTGTGGGCGGGTACTTTGGACCTCATCCACCTTAAATCTTTTCTGGCTTCCCCGCTGAGACAATGCTGTGTTGCACGCAGCGTCTCCCTCCACTCTGCTCTGCTGACCCCAGGGTTTCCCCTTTGGAGAACTGACAGCCCACAACCTGAGAGCCCTGGGAGAGCCTCACTGGCAAGGTCCTGCCTCTGCACTGGCCATGCCACTGCTCGGGGACAGCCACCCCCACATAGCAGGATCGACCACCCCGAGACCACCCCACCGCAGACATGGTGTGCCAAGCCCAGGGCGGCCACACAGTGGGCTGTGTGCAGTCGCCCATTTGACCCTACCGCCCAGGCAGCCCAGCCAGGAGCCTCCCAGGGCCAGCACATGCCACTTGGAGAAGGCCTGAGGGTCCCCTGCAACAGTGCCAGAGGCCACCCTCACCTGCCCCAGCCACGAGGGACACTCTGGGCTCACCCAAGCTCCTAACCACAGAATCACCGGGTAATAAACTGGTCTTCACCACTGCTGTGGAGACGTTTGCTACACCATAGATTACCAACACGCTCTTCCTACAACATCAAGCCAGTGAGTTCCCCTCTCTGAGACTCGGTTTCCTATCTGCAAAAGCAGGATTATAGCAGTGAGCTCACTGACTGGGGATAGTCACGTTTGTCTCTGTTGTTGCTGATATGCTAAACGTGCCACCAAGACTGGGACTTCCCTGGGCCTGCTGTGCCTTGGGCCACCCCTCCCGCCTGGCTTCCGTGCATGCAGTGCACTCTCAGGAAGCACACTGCAGTCCAGCACTGGCCGGGTCATGCTGTGCTCCTACACAGCCGCTGTCCAAGGGAAGTTCAGGGAAGTGTGAGTGTCCAGCCCCCCAGACTCCCCATCCTGCCCACAGGCAGAAGCTGTGGCCCGAGGCGGGTCTGTGCTTTAAAACCACTGCTCCATTGGCCCGAGTTTAGTATTTGATTTGTGGAGACAGAGTATTAGGCTCTCTTGCCTGGGCTAGAGTGCCCGTAGTGCGTTACAGCACTGAAAAAGATGGACCCTATCTAACCTCAAACTCTTTGGGCCAGTGATTGCTCTTCCTTACACCCAAAGACTCGTTCCCGATGTGAGCTGGGACTATAGTACCACCACGCCTGGCTAATTTTTTCTACTGTATTTTTTGAGATCATTTAGGTCTGTTCAGGCTACATATTGCGCTTCTCTATCTTATTAGTAAGCACCGCGGTGGTCCCTCGCTCACCTTGCTCAAGGCTGGTCCTCAAACTCCTGACTTCAAGCGATGGCTCCCGCCCTCGGCTCTCCCAGAGTGCTTAGGATTACCAGCTGTTGGTATTGCCACCGGCTGTCGCGCACATACGCGTGAGCGAGATTCTGCATCTCTTCCGAAGCGACCCAGACGCAAGTGGACAAGGTAGCGCAGAGATCCTAAACAAATTTACTTTCTGAAATCAGGGCCCAGATGGCCGTCCCTGGTATCCTTTTTCTCATACTGGAGATCAATCAGAGATATTTGTTGAGGGGTGGCCCCAGCATTCAGACCCCAATAAAAAGGGCAGCTGCGGGTATCTGCAGTAGCCAGAATTCTGCTACGAACCATGTCGCGGTCCCTCTCCGAGAAGGTCTTTAAACGACGGCCAAAGGCCAGCTTCTCCTAATAATCCTAAGGGAACGCACAATTGCTAAGGGAATTAACATGGGCTTTGCGCGCGTGCCCCTCCCCAGTTTGTAATGTATATCCGCTCAGGACCCCAGCTCGGACTGCAGCTCCAGACATCTAGGACGGTGACCCCGATTAGTAGGGCAAGACACCAAAGACCCTCTATCCTACCCTTACACCCCGAGGGTACAGACCCTCACATGCATTCAAGTTACCCTCGGTATTCAACGAAACCCAACCCCCCGTTCTCCGGGAGAGTCTCAATCCGCCGCAGAAGAGGCCAACCCTCAGGGGAGAGCGGGGCGGAACAGGGGCCATATATACGAATCACCGAAGTGGCCTCAACTCCCTTACGCGCAACGATATTGAGCACACCTTCGAGCATCCCTCCATACTAATCCTCCGTCTTACAATGCCCTTGGCTTTTGCCGTGCGCACAAAAAAGACTTACGAGTCCCAAAAGAGTGTCACGCCAATTAAAGGACTTGTCTTACAACTTCAGAAAAGAGTTTGCCCCAGACTTTCCAACAGACTTGTCCTCCTCCAAGATAGCGCTTAAAGATTGCCGGTATTCCATTAGGCCACCATGTCATGAGACGCAACCCAATTCCACACCCAACCTAAATAAAAATCCTTTTTTTTTTTTCTTTTTTAAAGTGCCCCCATAAAACCCTAGCATTCCCCGCGTAGTTACCAGGTCTAATAGGGCAAGCGGAGACCGCTTGCGCGCCCCCTTCTTCGAAGCCATCCCGCCCCAAGATTCAAACTGACGAGAATACAGACGAAGAAAGAAAAGGGAAACAAGTGAAAGTGAGTGACCCCCCCCGGAGGGAGCAGTGCCCCGGGCCCAAGCTGCAAAGCCCACTGAATTTCGCAGACTAAAGTTCAAAGAACCCTTTAAAAGAACTGAATTGCCTGGCTGTTGGACGTATGGGCCTCAATGCAGGCCCTTTACCTATTTCCCCTCCTAGAGGCACCCAGGGGGCCCGGCTGAACCGGCTCCCCCGGAGAATGGGGTCAAACTAGTAAACAGGACGGTCCTTTCTCCGCCGGGAAACGTTCCGTCTCTTGGAAAGGCGATTTGACCGCTGTCAGACGCACGGCTGCTAATAATTTAAAACCCCCAATTCTGATCTTGGACGCCTTGAAAAGCTTAGCAGAGCCCAAGGGAAATTTGGCTAGCTGAACACGCGCCAAAGGAAACTCCCAACTTAGGAATTTTTGTCCCCAGACCGGATGCAGCTGCCCCCTTCGGCG